ATAGTTAGAAGCTGCTACAAACCTTTGAAAGTCAGACATTATTTCAGTGCCAAACATGTCATTAAAAAAGAATGCTAAAAGCATGCAAATTGGTAGCAGTCCAATTATGAATTTAAAGTCAGGAGGCTGCAATCCTCTACAAGGAATGTAGACAAACAGGGGAGAATTTAATGACTTTCAAAGGCTGGGCTCTGCAGATAACCCAGTTTGCATCGCTTCAGTTGGAGTTAGGATCTAGGGAGCAGTCAAGTTTGTTATTGCTCTATTGGTCCCCCCTGTTATGCAGTAACTTCCTGAGTTCCTAGAGTCCATTATAGAGTTGGTGGTATACAAGGTTTATATTTCTTAGAGTCTCCAGTCTGCCCCAAATTGTGTCATGTCTGGGACAGTCCAGGAGTTCATTGCCACTACAGCAACTGTGGACCTGACCCAAGTCATTGAGAACCCAAAATATACCCCGAGTTGCATTTTAGATCAGTTTTGTCTCAGGGCAATTGTGATATCATCTGGAAGTAAAGGACATTAGTCCTTGGCTTTGTTCAGTTCACTCTGATTGCTTTTTGGGTCACTGGTTCTGCCTCTCCCCCACACGTAAACAGGGAATGGACAGCACCTGTTAGATCAGTCTTCCCCAGGTGATTAATGGATTAATCAAAACTTGGGGTTTCACCTGAAAATCTGATGGGTGCTGCTTGGAACAAGCAGGTGACAAAGATCTTGGATTAGATTGCTCCTCTGTAAACTCTCACTGTGGTTTTCTGAGGAGATGAGGAAATGACATGCCAGACAAGATAGCGAGAGCATCATGGGAAGAATACAAAGAGTAGATGAGGATGAATATTATTCATTCTTGTTTTCTTCATCTGATCAAAGTGTTTCGTGGATTGCATAGCTGCTTTGAGCATGGCCCACTGTCAATCATTGGCTCTGGGGGTCACCAGGTTGGACAGAACACATTTGTCAATCTAGGCAAGACTTGGAAAAACCCTCATTTTTGATCATATGGTATGACTTTGTTGCTTTAGATCAAGAAGTCCTGACTATTGACAAGACAAACTGGCAAGGCCTGGCTTCTTCAAGCAGGACTCAGTTATATCAGATTAGATGACAAAACTCTGTGTTAGTCTGTAGAAGGAGCAGAAACAAAAATTCAGAGGTAAGCAAGGCACAAAAAAGCTGGCACAGAGAGTTAAATATAATCTCTTCATCCCTGCTCTTAAAATGCAGTAAATGTTTGGCCCATTGCCTCTGAGTTTTAGCTTGGCATCCATTCATTCCTTGAGAGACTTAAAACTCCTTAAAGCTTTGGAAGTAAGATTTGGTTCAGAAGTCTACTGTATAATGGAGTAATCACCCTGAGCTTGTATTCAAAATGCTGAGAGCCGAGCTGAACTATAACTTGTGTTGACAGGGCTAGCACAGAAATATATTTTCTCATGTGCTGATGGAATGCTAAAGTGAAAACTTGTGTTTGGCTGCAGTAAAGACATTGAGAGGTGAGAACGCAAATGAAGCCTAAAGCAATGTTAGTCTTGCCACTCCACACATTCAATAGTTTTATCACCTTGTTATCTGCCTATCTGTCATTTCCTCAGGTCACTCCCAGAGAACCTATCAAGACATCCAACACTCACCCAGTGTTCTCACATACACAGTGTCATGGCTCCAATAGATGAAACCCTTCAAACAACTTTGAGACATTGTTTTCCTTAAAGAATCTTTTATTCAGGATACAAAGTATCGGCACTGCATAGTTGAACCCCAAAACTAAATTCCCCTCCCCTGGATACAAAGTAACAAAGTACAATTCCCACCCCCAATAAACTGTCATAAAGGACATTACCCTTTTAGCTTAAAGTGCAGGCTTTCTCCCCAGCTCTCCAGCCTGCCAAAACGTTATCAGCTCTGGACCCAGTTTGTCCTTGGGTTCCCATGGCAGAGTTATTATTATGGCTAACTGAGCTCGCATCCCAATCCCCCCTCCCTGCACCAACTAATTTTAAAAGCAAGAAAAAGGGAATAGAGAAAATGGCTGCATTTTCATCTGTTGCCAAAGCAAGAACATCCAATGTTAGCAGCGTTGACATCCGCCCCGCCCCCTTACAAAAAGGACAAATCCTGTAATGCAAACAAAAGTTAGGGATTGCCTCTCGGTTTATTAGGGTGCTTCTTACAGAATTTACTAAAGAATCTGTCAGCTTTTACATCGCTAGACTTAACCCAGGTGGCCTCAGACAACAGATACCCTTTCCATTGCACTAAACACTGTAGCTTTCCCTTAAAAAGTCTAGAATCAAGAATACATTTCACTTCGTAGTGAGTCTGTCCTGCTACCATAAGAGGTCCAAGTGCCTTCCTAGGGGGAGGCCATAAGGTGGAATCCCGAAAAGGTTTCAGCAGGCTACAATGGAACACAGGGTGAACTTTTCCTAAGAGTCTGGGAAGCTTTAATTCTACTGTAATGATCCTTACAATGGGGAAGGATCCTAAGTATTTTGGTCCTAACTTCTTACTAGATAACTTAAGCTGTAAATATTTTGTGGACAAATAAACCTTTTCCTCAACTTGGAATGATCTTTGAGGAGCCCTCTTTTTATCTACTTGCTTTTTATATGTTTCTGAAGCCTTTTTCAAAGCAATTTTCGTGGTTCTCCAGACCTCTTCCCACCCCTTCACCCACTGGTCAAGCATTTGGGAAATGGAGGGTCCCTGAGGATATTCAGGTATTGGGCTGAACTCTTTTCCTGTGGCCACTTTAAAAGGCATGAAACCGGTGCTGCTGTGAACAGAGTTATTGTAAGCCACCTCTGCAAAAGAGAGGAGCTCAGTCCAGTTCATCTGCTGATAATCCACATAGCATCTGAGATACTGCTCCACCATTGATTTCACAGATTCAGCCGCCCCATTGGTAGACGGGTGAAAAGCTGATGACAGCCCTTGAGATGAGCCAATTAGCTTAAGAAAATCTCTTCAAAATTTGGCTGTAAATTTGGTCTGAGATTATACATTTTGGTGTGCCATGCAGTCTGTAGATATGCTTCAGAAACATCTTGGTTAGTCGCTGGGTGGACAGGAGCCCTTTGCAGACAATGAAGTGACCTGCTTTGAAAACAGATCTATCACAGTCCAGATAACTCTATTGCCCCTGCTTTCAGGTAGGTCTGCTATAAAATCCATAACAATTTCTTCCCATGGCTGGGAAGAGTCCACCATCAGTTGTAATAGTCCAGGGGGTTTCCCTGAGATTCTTTTCATGGTGGCACATACAGCACAACTTCTGACATAGTTTTCTACATCCCATTTCAAACCCAGCCACCAAAATTGCCGGCGGATTAGATGTAGTGTTTTTAAATATCCAAAGCGCCCAGCCTGTTTTACATCGTGGCTGTGCCGGAGCATGTTAAGGCAGAGGGTTTCAGGCAAATACAACTTCCCCCCTTTGTAAACCAAACCTTCCCTGCATGTTAGGGAGGTTTGATTGTCTTTGAACCATTGGTTGGTGAGGAGCTCCTGTTTTATTTTCTTTGCCCCAGGGTCATCGGGGTTCGGGGCTCTCGAAGGTGGGACCCTGTGCAGCATTAGTTGAGAAGCAGTTTGTGGAGTAGATATAATTGCTTCATTAACCTCTTCACGCTGGCTCTTATATTGGGGCAATCTGGATAAAGCATCAGCCAAAATGTTTTTTCCCCTCAGTATGTACTTTATTTTATTTATTTATTTATTTTATTTATTAATTGCATTTATATCCCGCCCTTCTCCTTACGGACTCAGGGCGGCTGACAATTGAATAAAATACTAACATATATACATACTTAATTAAAATTTGATTAAAACGAAATATTTAAATATGTCCAATTTAAAAGTAATTAAAACCCCCTTTAAAAT